TCATCTCTTTTTATTGCCTCCTTATGGATGGTTTGTTTGCTCCTGCTCTTGTCCATTATGGAAAAGATTTGCCCGCCAAAAAGCCAGTGACTCGGTTGGAATTTAACACTGGTCTTGGAAGATGTCTTGGACATTGGTTAACCAGTTGCACGAACGCGAGCCAGTGCAAGTCGAGGATCATCAGCCAGAAGCGCCACGTCAATCGATACCCCGGGGTACGTTTTCTCGTTACTGATACCACGAACCGGTAGAAAACTCGGTGTCTAATGAGTCTCGCGGATGCGTGCAATCATAAAAAGATATATGTTACAAGGCAGACGGATAACAGATTCCGTGGTTTGACCTTGTTAGATCGCTTTTGCGAGCGAACAGATGAAACTAGAGGAAAAGGAACGAGTCGTTTTAGAAATGATTGCTCTCTGAAGAAGGACATTACAGACACTTAGCTTTTTATTTCGTTTCTCTTTCTCGTTTCAAATTCACGATAATAACAGTGGAACTTATATGATGAATTTGTATATAACTAAAACATGGACGATTAAAAAGGAAAAAAAGAAAAAAAGATCGAACAAATTTTTACGACATTTTGAAATCTAGACCGATTATTTTTGCTTTTCGTGTTGAGGAAATATCGCTATTTTTTTTCTTTCTTTTTTAGCAGGAGAAGAGGGAGGAAATTTTTACAAATTCGAAACAAAGAGCTCGGCTAATAAAAAGAAGTTGCATAAAAACTTGGGATTCCCAACGTTGCCCGTACGTTCCAAAAGAAGAAAAAGATCTTGTTTGACAATTTATAAGTACGTACCGCTAGTTCCACGAAAAGGCACGGTATTCGCTAGGAATTTCAATAAAACATGCACTCATGAATATGTTGAGTCATTCTGCCTTTCGCGGGCACGGAACGAGCCTCTGTTTCTTCTATTTGACACTTACGATCTGGCGAACCGGATTTCGTGTTGCGCCCTCAACGTATTCAAGTCTGAATATTTTCTGCAATACGTGTTGCAATAAATTAAATATGTTTTTGTTTTTTCCGCTATTCGTCGAAATCTTGTCGTGACATTCAGTATCTGCCAATAGTCGATATCATAATGACAGAGGAATATCAATGAGGTCTCAGTAGTTGGCAAATAAATTAATGGAAAGTTTGTTAACTGCTAAAGTATATTCCTATCTTAATGTTATAAGATATAACAACTTTCGATAATTGTTGGCAATTTCTTCGGCGTTCCCCTCAAATATTTCGCTATTAACCAGATCACGACCTGTTTAGAGTAATTTTTGTTGCTCTTTAACGTGTGTTATCTAAGCATGTTACGTAGATTATTTAACATTTAACATTTAAACGTCTCCATGTCCCATAAGGAAATCACGAAGACTCATAATTTCTTGTAGTTTACTTCAACGCTTATCGCAGAAACTTGGCAATTTCCATCATGAACAACACCACGATCGTTTCCCTAGGTTTCGTTCAAGCATCCATCCTTTTAACAACTTTGCGTGTGTAACGTTGTGCAAAAGATTTAACTTATTAAAATTAAAAAGACTAATTATGAATCAGGATACACTTCAGATAGATTGCACCACGAGTTACTTCTGGAAAATATAGTTAGTTAATAATTAACACATTTGCACAGTACTGTTTTATAAACCGATCGTTTTAAGGTGAACGCAATTCAAGTAGGAAATTAACTGCTCACCTAATTAGAGAACACAAGGCAGAGGTTCCATTTCGTATCGGTGAAACGACCTAGCCGACAACCCGTCATTTGCCACTATAAAGATCAGAACCGGGGAGGCAATAATTTTAATAATGCACAAGTTTCGACACGGTCTCATTTCCATCGTCGGCGGCGTCTTCGAGAGCGCGGCCCATTTTCACGCCGATCTCGCGCCGCGTTGCCTCACTGAAAGCATAAATCTAAGGCCCGTTTGCCACGATCGCCTACATATTTTGCAACTCGCGAACCGGGCTCATTACATCGACCATTGCATCGAGGCTTCACTCTGTTTGCCGCACGGAGATTCGTCCTGGTTCTTCCGATGAAGTCTCA